CCTCCCGAGTGCTGAGACAGATTTTTAAAAAAGTGAAAGTATAAAAATTCAAGTAGAAAACAGATCTCTGAGAGTTCCAGACTACCAGGGCTACATAGGGAAACCTTTTCTAAAAGAAAAAAAAAAGTAGAAAATGAAGAATTTCTCAAAGATTTGGTCGGGGATGGTCTTTATTTTTTACATTTCTTTGTGTGTACGTGTGCGGGCACTCACACCACAGCATACATATGGAGGTCAGAGAACAACTTGCAGGACACAGTTTTCTCCTTCTACAACAAGGGTTCTAAGGATCAAACTCAGGCAGTCAGGCTTGGCACAAGCATCTTTATCTACTAAACATCTCCCAGGCCCTGGAATGGTCTTTTTTAAGTCAAAAAGTAACAATTCTAATGACAAAAAATGAAAAAACTGGGGCTGGAGAGATGGCTTAGCAGTTAAGAACACTGACTGTTCTTGCAGAAGACCTGGGTTCGAATCCCAGCACCCACATGGCAGCTAATAACGGTCCATAATTCCAGGCCCAGGGGATCCAACAGCCTCTTTGACCTCTGCGAGCATTGCACAACACAGGTGTACTTACCTACATGCAGGCAATACATGCATACACATAAAAGAAAAAAAAATAAAATAAAATAAAATAAAAAAAGAAAAAACTTCTGTACGTTAGAAGCGAATAGCAATGTATGTATGTTTTTGTGTTCGTTCTCTGTAGCATGTTTTTGTAATTAAAAAATAATCTTTTCTGGGTCTAATGGCGCATGCCTACAATTCCAGTTACTTAGGAGGCTGAGTCATGAGATCAACTGAATCCAGAGTTAGAGGTCAGCATTGTCAACATGCCAAAATCCTGCCTCATGAACAGTAACAAGGCTGAGCAAGGAGTACCGCGCCTTTAATGTCAGCACATAGAAGGCAGAGGCAGGCCAATTTCTGAGTTCCAGGCCAGCTGGAGCTACAGAGACCCTGTGTCAAAAAAGAAAAGAAATTATATACCAAAACCAAAACCCAAACCAAAACCCAGTAACAATTAACTAAAAAAAGAAGAAAAAAAACAAAGAAAAGATTAAAAACAAAAACTTTTAAGCTTTACAGTCAATTTTACAAGCTTATTTTAAATACTAGGCTCTTCTAACCTCTAGCTACCAAATCAATACGTCATAGTTCACCAATCCTAACTATAAGATAAGCTATGTTAAACGCCAGCCAGTATAGTTAGAACAGAAAAGAAGATCATACTTTGTCTTTGGTTAGCATCTCCATCTGCGTGCGGGTTGTTGTGTGATGGTTTAACTGCTCCATCTCCTGGTCCAGCTTCCGTAAGGTCCTGTCTAGGTCGGTCTTCTCATTTTGGAGGCTCATTACTTCTGCTTTTAGAGTTTCTACATTGCTGTTTTTCTCAGCCTTGCTTAGCTCACGTTCCTAGTCAATAATTCAAACAAATGCACAGATTTATAAATTTTGTGCCAGAATTAAAATGATGACAGGGTATATTAGAAATTACTTCCTGGGCTGACTCTGACAGCTTGCACTCCTAACTGGAGAGTGACTATTATTTTTAATAAACCTTCACTTTTGCTACTAAAAAGCAATCACTTTTTTTTGGGGGGGGGGGTCTGTTTTTGAGACAGGGTCTCCCTGTAGTCCCAGCTGTCCTGGAACTCACTATGTAGACCACCAGGCTGGCCTTGAACTCACAGAGATCCGCCTGCCTCCTGAGTGCTGGGATTAAAGGCATGTGCCACCATGCCTGGCAAAAGCAATCACTTTTAAGAATTAAAACACTGAGGGCTGGAGAGATGGCTCAGCGGTCAAGAACACTGGTTGTTCTTGCAGAAGACCCGGGTTTGAATCCCAGCACCCACATGCAGCTAACAACTGTCAATAACTCCAGTTCCAGGGGATCCATCAGCCTCTTCTGTCCTACAAGGGCATTGCACAACATGGGTGCACTTACCTACATGCAGGCATAACACTCATACACATAAAATAAAAATAATAAATTAAAAAAAAATCAAAATACTACTTTTTCTGGGCATGGTGGTGCATACCTTTAATCTTTAAACTTGGGTGGCAGAGGCAGGCAGATCTCCTGTGAGATGGAGGCCATCCTGGTCTACACAGAGCGTTCCAGGCTAGCTTGGGCTACAGGGAGACCCTGTTTCAAAATATATAAAGCTATATATACTTCAGGGGAAAAAAAATCTTACTGAAGTTACTATATGAGGCTATAAACACTAAGAATTAGTAAATAAACCTAGAAGGGTCAAACAGAAAGGAAAAATGAGAATTAGAGAAGAATTAGGAGAAATATGTCTATATATACAAAAGCATAACTTAGCACTTAACCATGTAACTTACTCTATTGCTTGGTATACAGAAACCACAAAGACAGTGTGATGTGGCCTGACAGGTACTTTCTCATCCCAACAACATGATAAAGTGCAAACTGATGAACATATACTGTATGTACAACGGTGAGTTATGAAGAGAAAAAAGTTAATGTTTACCTAAATTATGAAGATGAGATGAGAGGTATGTTGGACGCAGCCTCACCTGTCACCCTGACACACCTGGGAGGAGAAAGCCTCAACTGGGCAAGTTCCTCTATTGAACTGGCCTGTGGGCATGATCTGTGAGGCATTTTCTTGATAGCTGAGTGATGTGGGAGAGCCCAAGTCCATTGGGAGTGGTGCCACCCCTGGGCAGGTGGTCCCAGGTTGTACAAGAAAGCCGGCTGAGCACAGGCCAGAGGAGCAAGTCAGTGAGCAGCAGTCCTCCATGGCCTGTGCTTCAGCTCCTGCCTCCACGTTCCTGCCCTGGATTCCCTCAGGGATGAATCATGATTGGGAAGTGTAAGCCAAATAAACCCTTTCCTGCTGGGCATGGTGGTGCACACCTGTAGTCCCAGCACTTCAGAGGCAGAGGCAAGTGGATCTCTGTGAGTTCAAGGCCAGTCTGTTCTACATAGTGAGTTCCAGGACAGCTGGGGCTACAGGGAGACCCTGTCTGACAAAGACCAAAAAACAAAACAAAAATCAAATAAACCCTTTCCTGCCCAAGTTGGTTTTGGTCAAGGTGCTTTCTCACAGCAATGGAGAAACAATCTAGAACAAAGGCTCTGTCAAGGGTTAGGATACTTACTTATTGTGGCAATGGAGACGTGAAAGAAGAGGCCAGTTAGAAACAAGGAAGAAAATGTGAAATTCTTCAAGAGACTAGCTAGAAGCTTGTTTACCACAGAAAAAGTGGTAACAAGTCACAAACCAGGGAAAATACCAAAGTGCTTGCAATAGTCACCTCTTCTGTGTGTAGAACACATACTTGTGAACTATATCACAAGAGATTTTGACTTAGAAATCTCTAAAGTCTGAAAGTCTAAGCACAAATATCTTTAAAAAATTATCTTGATGATTCTAATTTTTAACCCACGAGTTTCAAGACTTAGAAAGATGAATTATCAAGATATTCAAATAAGGTCATTTTATATTACATAACAAGGCTGACTTAAAGTGCCATAATCTGAGGGTTAGCAACAGATAACACTGCAGGATACAAAACCCAAAATGCAGCAGACTTAGGGTGATTACAAGGCTTGGAATTGCTTACAGCTTTTGTGAGCTCCTGGTCCAGCTCGAGGATTCTGTCTGACGAACCTTCCAGCTGCTGCAATTCCAACTTCACATTCTTCAGCTCAGTCTGCTTCCTCCTTAGGATTTCTGTTTTCAGCTCAATTATTCTTCCCAGTCCTGTCTTCTTATCCCTTATCTCATCTATTTGTCTTTGCTTCAAGGTTTCTTTTTCTGTGAAGTCAATCTAAATACATGTGAAAAATGTGCATTCATGTTTCCACTGACCGATCAAGAAAACTTCACTATAAAAGCAACATGTACAATGAAGGAAATACAGGAAATCCTTTCTAAGAATGCAAAAGGCATCATCCAGAGGCGATCATAAACTGTGAGCAAAAAATTCTTTGCAATTATCTTTAAAATAAATTTACTTAAAACCAAATAAAACTGTAGGTCTGTATTTTATATATTTTTATCCTTATACACTCCAAAGGTATTTTTCCTACTTTCTAGATTTGTCTCACATCTAAAATAAAAATGTGCCAAAGTAGGGTTCACCTGAAAAATATGTAAAGTCGCCTAGAGAACACAGCAAACCCTGGACCTCAGAACACTCACCAGCAGCTTGTTGGCACTTTCCGTTTCTCTCTCTTGTCTCTCCCTCACAAGTCTGTGAAAGTTTTTAATCTGTCTTTCACTGAATGGTCCACGCTCGAAGCCATCCAATTCCAGCTGTGCTGCCAAGGACTGAATGAGCGAATCTCTGGCCCGGACATGTTCCTGATGGCCATCTGCCTGCAGCTGTAGGCGACCTGTATTTTAAAACAAAAGAACAAAACTTCTTGTTTTTTTAATATTTTATTTTTTATTTTATGTGTATGTGTGTATTGCCTGCATGTACGTAAGTGCACCAGTGCCCTGCAATGCCCACAGAGGACAGAAGAGGCTGTCGGATCCCCTGAAACTGGAATTATGGACAGTTATTACTTGCCACGTGGGTGCTGGGATTCAAACCCGGGTCTTCTGCAAGAACAGTCAGTGTTCTTAATCTCTGAGCCATCTCTCCAGCCCCCAAAACTTTTTTTTAAAGCAAGTTTTTTTAGAAATTGAGATAACTATAGATTCACATGCAGTTATAAAGAGTAATACAGTGTGATGGCTTATAAACTCTACCCAGTTTCCTCTGATGGGATGTTTGGTAAAATTTATATGACATTAAAACTAGCATACTGACCCTGATATAATCCATCAATCCTATTCAAATTTCCTTAATGTCTCTTGTACTCGACTGGTGTGTCTGTTAGTATTAATCCCCTGGGGCTGCACTTAAATTCTGTTATGAGTCACCCAATGTGGTTGCTAGGAACTGAATTTGAGTCCTCTGGAAGAGGAGCAAGTGCTCTTAACTGCTGAGCCATCTCCCCGTCTAGTTCCACATAATTTTATCCACTGTGTAGGTTCATACATCCAATACTAGAGCCCAGATCCTTAACAGAACCCTCTCATTGCTCTATGACCATAACTACACCCAACTTTCCCATCGCTCCTTCTACCTACCACCCCCAACAACCACTAACTTGCATACTAGGTCCTAGATTTTGACACTCAGATTCCATGAAGGGAAACACACTACAACCTTTTGAGACTGGCTTTTTTCACGTGAGAGTCTACGAGGATTCTTCATTCATACAGAAAATGTATATTCTAGAAGGAAAAGACCAAGTTCCCCTTTATCCTACCTTGTTCAACAAGCAGCTCTGACTTCTCCTGATTGAGAAGCCGAGACTCCTTATTCAACTTTTCTAGTTCTCGCTGACAGTCTACCAATCGCCTTTCTTTCTCTCTTACTGTCCGCTGGTGGTTGTGATACAAATCATTCAGTTGCTCATCTGTCCCTTGAAAAACCTGTGTAAAACCAAAAAACACACTTTAATGTACACATATAAGATACAATCACTTTGATGTATCAAATATAAACACAATCCTATTCAATATCCTTCATTTTAATAGACATAAGGTTCACAGACACCAAGATTTATGTTTTTTTCCATAATGAGAGGGTGAACAAGGTTCAAATGAGATTCATCACAATGATCCCTGAAGTTTCAAGTGGCACAAACTTTACACCAGCACAAACCTTTTCCACCTTCTGCTCGAGCTCGCTGTTATCTTTCTCCATTTGCTTCTTCCGGCTATCCAAGGCTTTGATTTCATTGTCGAGTCTCATTATTTTAGACAGATTGTGTTCAATTTCTTTTAGGCGATTCTGAAAGTAAAGCAGCACTCTACATAAATAAAACCCACTCCAGCTGACACTGCTGGTGAAGAGGTGCAAGGTGTGTGAGGGTCAGACACCCACAGGAGCATCTGTATGAATAGCACCATTGGATGCTAATGGCAGCACTGTGTAGGCAGCACTGAGAAACTGAGGCTCAGAGACGCCCCCAATGCTCATCCTTGCCCTCAACAGCTCCCACCGAAGTCATCTGAGCCCCCAAAGGCTTGCCCTTGCCCTCGACCACTACACTGAAGCCATCAGTTCACAGGACACTGCAGTATGTGAAGAACCACATTTTAAGAACATGATCCTTAAAAGGTGAATTTATCTTCTGATGATGGTAACCATGACTGCAGGACTGAAGACTGCACCTAGGGCCTCACACACACTGGGCAGGCGGCTCACCACTGAGCTACAGCCCCAGCCTAATGTTTTGTTGTTGTTTTGGTTTTGGGCACAGGGTCTTATGTAGCTCAAGTTGACCTTTAACTCACTATGTAGTCAAAGATGACCTTGAATTCCCAATCTTTCTGCCTCCATTTCCCAATTGCTGCGATTATAGGTATGTGCCACCACATCTGGTCCTTAAAGAGCCCATGGTGAGGGCTGGTGAGGGGGCTCAGTGAATAAATGCATTTGCCGCCAATCCCAATGACCCAAGTTCAATTTCTTGGACTCACATGGTAGAAGAAGAAAACAGACTCGTGGAAATTGTCCTCTGACTTCCCATGCCCACTGTGGGGCGCGCGCGCACACGCGTGCACACACACACGATTATTAATCTAGCAATGACTTAAAGTAAACAGAAAGATATGCATGGATTGCAAGCAAATCCTGTGACATTTTAAAAACAAACAGCTCATAGTAAGCTGCCAATTCATTCTAAGCATACCAGATATCAACAACTGCACATCATGTCACCATGGCTGATAATCAGTTCCTGGTCACCACAGATAACCAATTACTAAGTACTTGTCAACTGCAGAGAGAACAGAACTGAAGCCTTCCCACCACAGCAGTGACTTGTGACACAATGGACATGCTAATCAGCTTAACACTCCATGGTTCATGTACATTAAATCGTATTGCATGTCATGAACACATGGTTTTAGTTTGCTCATTACCTTCAATGGCTCTAGATCGTTCTCGTAAGACTTGACGATCTCCTTTGAAGACATTAACTGTGCTTCCTTATTGGTAATCTGATCACGAATCTCACAAGCTTTTTCCTTATTTTGCTTCAGATATTTCAATTCTGTTTGGCATTCTTTCACTTTCTGGCCTTGTGTCTGACGTACCTGACGAAGTGTATCTAAGGCTTTAATGTACCTTTGAAGATGTAATGAAAGCAAAATTTATGGCTAGGTAAATGATAGTATGTTAGTACAGCAGAGTATTATGCAGCCGTTACTATTGCATTTACAAACAGTAACTTGGAAAACGCTATGACATCATGGTAAATGAGAATATTACATTTATCCTGGCAATCAGATGAACATGCACAGCAAGAAAGCCAAAAGGAAATACACCCAGTGGGTGCACCAAGGTGATCACGGTGGCGTGCACCTCTAGTTCCAGATCCTGGGGCAGGAGGACTGCTTGAGCTCAGAGTCTGAGGCCAGCCTGAGCAATTAAACAAAGACACACCTGGCACGAGCTGGATGTGTGACTCAGTAGTAAAGCAGGTGTGTACTTGGCATGCACAAGGCAAGGGCCCTGTTCAACTCAGCATCACGAAATAAAACAGGGCTGCGCAGCACCACAGCCAGAGTTTAGTGCTACAAACCTTGTTGCTGAGAAGATCTCATCAAACTTCTGCTTCAGGGCTTTGCCTTCACTTAGAGGCCAATTAGAATCTTCTTGGTGACAGAATATGACATTATTTAGCACAGACTTCGAAACCCCAAGACAACTTATCATTTCTCGGTCGATTTCTGCACATTTAGAGCTGAGGCTGACCTTTTCACCATGCCTAAAGAAATTGAAAATCAAGGACATAAGTAACATGACTTTTGGAAGAACTACTCTGCTGAACCCTTCAGGCTACTCTCTCTGTCCCTGCTGCCAAGCTCTTAGTATCTAGACTGGTTTCAAACTCACCATGCAGCCACGGATGACCCAGAATATCTGATCCTCCTAGCTCTACTTCCAAAGTGCTAGTTCTAGGGTTATAAGGGTCTGCAACCACACTCAACTTATGCAGTGCTCAGGATATAACCCATGGCTTCATGCATGCCAGGCTCTACCAACTAAGCCACATCCAAAGTCCAAACTATACTCTTTAACAAAATAAATAAAGTCCCTTCACCCACCCCTTAAAACAGCTTCCTCATGCTAAGCCATTAACTCTTGATGCTGGGAAATAGCTTAGTGGGTACAGTGCTCGCAGCCTAATGGGGACCAGAGCCCGATCCCTGGCACCCATGTGAAAGAAAGCCCAGGTGGTCCAGATGGCATGCACTTGCAATTCTAGAGCTGGGGCACTGAAGATAAGAGGATCCCTGGGACTAACTGGCCATTGGCCTAGCTGAACTGGCAAGCTAAGGCCGGTAAAAAGCTGTTTCAAATAACAAGGTGGGCAGCTCCTGAGAACAGTGCCAAGGTTGAAGCCTGGCTTACATACACATACATACACACATGCATGTGCACCTGCACACACATCAATAGGAGCATACACACACACACACACACACACACACACACACACACGGAAAAAGTTAACTCTTCTATGACTTAGAAGTTCTCTGTGGAAATGGTTAAAACAAACAGTATAGGAAAGAATGCCAGAGTTTTAAAACATACTTGGACTTTTTTTTGGTCTGTGTGTGTGTTTTTTCCTATGTGTGGGTACAGGTGCGCATGGAGGTCAGAGGAGAGTATCAAGGTCTTCTTCAATGGCTTTCCATCTTGTTCTTTGAGACGGTATCTCTCACAGAACCTGGAACTCACCGACTGAGCCAGAATGGCGGGCCACAAACCCCTGGACCCTCCTGGTCTCTGCCTCCCCAGAGCTGAAACTGAGGACCCTCCTGATCTCTGCCTCCCCAGAGCTGAAACTGAGGACCCTCCTGGTCTCTGCCTCCCCAGAGCTGAAACTGAGGACCCTCCTGGTCTCGGCCTCCCCAGAGCTGAAACTGAGGACCCTCCTGGTCTCTGCCTCCCCAGAGCTGAAACTGAGGACCCTCCTGGTCTCGGCCTCCCCAGAGCTGAAACTGAGGACCCTCCTGGTCTCGGCCTCCCCAGAGCTGAAACTGAGGACCCTCCTGGTCTCGGCCTCCCCAGAGCTGAAACTGAGGACCCTCCTGGTCTCGGCCTCCCCAGAGCTGAAACTGAGGACCCTCCTGGTCTCGGCCTCCCCAGAGCTGAAACTGAGGACCCTCCTGGTCTCGGCCTCCCCAGAGCTGAAACTGAGGACCCTCCTGGTCTCGGCCTCCCCAGAGCTGAAACTGAGGACCCTCCTGGTCTCGGCCTCCCCAGAGCTGAAACTGAGGACCCTCCTGGTCTCTGCCTCCCCAGAGCTGAAACTGAGGACCCTCCTGGTCTCGGCCTCCCCAGAGCTGAAACTGAGGACCCTCCTGGTCTCGGCCTCCCCAGAGCTGAAACTGAGGACCCTCCTGGTCTCTGCCTCCCCAGAGCTGAAACTGAGGACCCTCCTGGTCTCTGCCTCCCCAGAGCTGAAACTGAGGACCCTCCTGGTCTCTGCCTCCCCAGAGCTGAAACTGCAAGTACACATCACCACATCTGGCTTCTACCTGGGTGCTAGGGATCTAACTCAGGTCCTCATGCTTATGTGGCAAGTACTTTAGAGACATCTCCCCAGACCCCATTTTTAGGCTTTTACAAAAACTGACTGAAAATATTCATACCTAATAAACAGAGGAAAAATATTATCTTTCATTCTCAGAACTCAAAAGTAAGAGACTTAAGTTAATAAAACTTGATGACCAAGATAGAACAAGGTGACAAAAACAGTAAGAGTGTGTGGCTTAGAAAATGGGTTTTCCCAGGCTGGAAAATTGCCAAGGCATTAGAGGAGCCCTGGGTTGGATTTCCACTGCTGAAGACAGAGTGGAGGGGGAGGGATGGAGGTGGGTGAGGTGGAAAGAGGGGAGAGAAGAGAAACAGAGGGGAGAGACAGACACATGGGGAGGACAGGGGAGAGGGAGACACGTGGGGAGGAGAGGGGAGAGAGAGACACGCGGGAAGGACAGGGGAGAGGGAGACATGCAGGGAGGACAGGGGAGAGAGAGACATGCAGGGAGGACAGGGGAGAGGGAGACATGGGAAGGGGAGGGGAGGGAGACATGGGAAGGGGAGGGGAGGGGAGGGAGACACAGGGAGGGAGAGGGGAGAAATAGAGACATGGGGAGAAGAAAGGCGTAGGATGATTGCTGTGGGTCAAGGAACATTTAAGAAACACAAGTCTGCCATTCATCGTTATAATCTATTTTATTGACTTAATTTTCTTCTTTTTTAGTTCTGGAGATGGAAAATATTTTCCTGTTTATTATATATGGATATTTCAAATTAGTGTATGTCAGAATCTAAATGTGTGATCTGGGTTTAGAGATATGACATGGATATTAAGAGCACCTCCTGTTCTTCAAGAAGACCTAAGTTTAGTTCCCAACACCCACATTGGACAGCTCCCACCACCTTTAACTCTAGCTCCAGGGGATCCGATGCCCTCTTCTGGTCTACACATGGGAACTCTACTTGGCATTCAATTTTACTGTGAACACAAAATTATTCTAAAAATAAAGTCTGAGGTCAGGCATGAAGTTACATACCCATAATCCCAGGACTCAGGAGGCTGAGGCAGAAATATTGCCATGAGTCTGAGGCCAGCCTGGGCTATACTGTGAGTTCCAAGCTAGGCTGAGTTATAGCATGAGACCCTGTCTTAAAAACAAAACAAAACAAGTAACAAAACCGATCTAAAAAAGGAAAACAACAAAAACATCTCATCAACCTAAAAGACCAAATCTGAGCAGATAGAGCACAAGTACGCACTTCGTTCTGGTAATGACGCCTTCCAGGGTTTTAAACTCTGTTTTCTTGCTTTTCTGACTGCACACCATTGATCTCTGCACAGCCACAAATTCTCCATTGACATCACGAAATTGCAGGCGAATCTGGGCTCTCACATCTGTTTCCTGAGCAACCTTTGAAGATAAACAGAAATATTATGTTATTAAAATAAGCACCAGAATGTGCGGCAAGTAAAGAAAGTGCTCCCCATCCAGGGAGATGACCAAAACTGTAAACATTCAAAATAAGCCATTTTTACACTTTTCAAAATATGGAAGGAAAAACAGTATTTGATTTATCAAAACGATATCGTATCAGCTGTCTCTTTTGTTACATGTTGATTCTCCCTCTCTCCAGTCATCTTCATTAGTCTATAAAGCAATCTAATATATCCTATTTTTTACAAACACAAATAACAATAACCAACAAACCCCTTTATTGTAAAACACTTAGCTACTGCTACCTTAGTTATAGCAAACTTCATAATTAGTTTTCTAATTACTGAAGCTGATTTCATTTATTAAAACGTGTTATTTTTATGTATTTGAATGTTTTGCCTGCATGTATTAAGTGCACTCACGCATTCAATGCCTCCAGAGGTCGGAAGAGGGCATCTGATCCCCTGGGACTGGAGTTATGGATGGTTGTTGGCTACCATGTGAGTGCTGGGAACTGAACCCAGGTCTTCTGTAAGAGCAACAAGTGCTCTTAACTGGAGTCCAGTTAGCTACCATGTGCTAGGAACCAAACCTGGGTCCTCTGCAAGAGCAGCCAGTGCTCTTAATCACTGAGCCATTTCTCCAGCCCCCTTTTCCTGATTTCTTTAAAAAACAAACAAACAAAAAAAAAGGATTATTTTTATGTGTAAATATGTCTGCCACATGTGTGCAGGTGATCTGAGAGGCCAGAAGAGGGCATCAGATCCCCATAAGCTGGAGTTACAAATGATTATGAGTCATGGGGACTGTGAACTGAATCTAGGTCCTCTGGAAGAACAGCAAGCACAAAGTGCTGAGCCATCTCTCCAACCCCCTCTTCCTGATTTCTAAATGCATTAGCTCTAGTGCTCGAACTGAAGGACAGGAATCAGTTTTCTCCCTTCATTCCCTCTTAGATCTTGATGAGATCAAGGCTTTAAAAATTAACTATACAGAACTCTGTGTGTATGTATACACACACACACACACACACACACACACACACACACGCACGCACCACACTTCCTAATTTTCTTTCTGTAACCCTAACCTCCCCACTGTACAAACTTTTTATATCAAATGGACAATTCCTTTGTCTATCTACAGAACACCTCAAATGTACAAATTTAAACCAGATCCACCCAAATTTCTTTTTTCAGAGTTTTATTACAACAAAAGTCAAAACGAGCTTAACAACTTGTTCAAGCAAAAACCCTAGAGTTCTGCTCCTCTCGCACACCTAGTCTGTTGGCTCTACCTTCAAAACACATCCCCAATTCAAGTATGTCTCCACATTTCTACTCCCCCTGACCAGGCCACCGGAGCGCCCACCTGCACTTAACCGTGCCACCAGAGCGCCCACCTGCACTTAACTGGGCCACCGGAGCGCCCACCTGTCTCCAGCCCTGTCTCCGCTCTCCCACCTTTGCCCCACACAGACAGGCTTCTTATAAACAGACTGATCCTCTTAAAATGTAAATCAGATAACCTACTTTTCCTGATCAAATTCTTCTAACAAATGTCTATTTAAAGTCATAACTGGGCTGGGGATAGAGTCAAGTGGAATAACGCTTGCCTAGTACTGACACCCTAAATTCAATTCAGAGCAATGAAAAAGAAAAACAAAAACAAAAAAACCAAAGTCCCATAAGATCTAGTCTCTTCTGGCTAGATTGTAGCCTGGGCAACATAAGGAGTTCCAGGCCAGTCTGGGCAATTTAGGAAGACCCTGCCTGTATTCAATCCCCACATTCCAAAAATAAATAATACATTCATAATTCTTAACACAAGAAACAGCATGGGCATACATGTACTAGGTTTTATTACTGGAAATCAAAGGAATGTTCATCTGATCCCTCCCATTCCTCAATAAAGTACAAGCCAAGATCACTAATTGAGGAGTAGATTCTATGTTTAAGAAGAGAAAAGCTATGAAGTAGTCATTTTAGAAAGCTTTCAGTAAATATATACCAAGTGTTATTACTATTTCTAAGATGAAATTCACAAATACTCTCGCAATTACAGAATTATCTTTATTTACATGAAAATTTAAAGTCACATTAAGGTTTTTTTGTTTGTGCTTGTTTTTGTGTGTGTGTATGTGACAGGGTCTTATGTAGCCTAGGTTGGCCTTCATCTCTTGATTTTCCTGCCTCCTTTTCCAGAGTGCTGGGATTACAGGCTTGTGGCACCATGCCTGGCTTATGTTAAGGTTTAAGGACACTTTTAAAGATGCAACTTAAATGGTTACCAAGTGCTCGGGAGCAGAGGCACAGGGAGCTCTCTGAGTTCGAGGCCAGCCAGGTCTACATAGCTACAGACCAGCTGGGGCTACAGGGAGACCCTGTCTCAAAAAGACCAAAAAAAAAAAAAAAGATTACCAAGGGCCCAATTAAATTAACTAGAGGGTAAAGAACCGATGGTTAATAGAAACTGAAAACAAGTGGTGAAAGTGCACCAACAGATCCACAATGTCGCTAAATCACCTGATTTTTACACTAAGAGTCTACTGTCACACGGACTATAAATGTGCAAATGTATTTATAGACACACACAGGCATGCTTCTGCAAGCACAGATAAAATAAGGGAGGAACTGAACAGTAACTGACTAGGACCTAGTGGTACTAAATATGTATTCTTATTTCATACAGACATGCAACAGGAAAAACTTACAGTCACACTTCATGTCCTTTTGACACACTAGTAATAGAAACACCATAATTCAAGCAAAGATCCATACGCAAAGATTTTTATCAGGGTAGATTTTAGTGGAAAACTAAAAGCAAGCTCATGTTTTATTTAAATAGAAATACTTCAACTAAACAAAACAACAGAAAAAGTAGAAGTTGAAAGGGACTCACATGACAAATGTCCAGATTAAGAATTTATGACAGCGGTTTAATTTTTTTTAAATTTATTATTGTGCAACTGCATGGTATATGAGTGGGGCTCAGGGGCCACGGCACTTGTGTGAGGGAGGGCAACTCTGAAGGGTGGTTCTTTCCTTCCACCATGACAAATTTGATCCTCAGCTTTCAAGACAAGTGCTTTTACCCTCTGGGCCATTTCATCAGCTATAGAGTGGGAAAGACAAAAACCTGAATACAGTATTAGACAGGAGCAGGACCTCAGCTGTATAAACAACACACAGAGGAGGAAGATCCAAACTTTACAGTAGTAATCACCGGTACCAACTCTGTATATGACATCCCTCTTTACACTCCCCACTGTGCAGTTTTCTAAAAGCATGAGTTCCTTTCCCAATACAAGCTTTTCACGTTAGACTACGAACATTTACTAGCATCACTACCTTGGGATCGTGGACAAATGTATTTCCTTTGGTTCCAGGAGGGAAATCACCAGTACAGATGTACTTCAGACACTCAATGATGGTCTAAAGAAACAGAAAACAAACTTGTCACAAGTATTCACAGCCAGGCTTGGTAGCACATGCCTGAAATCCCAGAACATAGCAGGTGGGAGGCAGAAGGATCAGGAGTTCAGGGTCATCCTCAGCTACCTAGTGAGTTCAAGACCAGCCTGAGCTACTTGACATCATGTCTCAAAAAAAAAAATTAAATTAAAAATAAAAGATAAAAAAATATGTATACACACACACACACACACACACACACACACATATATTAATATTACGAACAAAGGCAGCTTAAGGAAGAAAGGTTTTGTTTTTTGTTTTCTTTTTTCTTGCAGAGGGATGAGAGTATATCATGGCAGGGAAGCATGGAAGCAAGTGGCAGGAACAGGAAGCTGAGAATGCACATTTTCAATGGCACTCATGAAGCAAGAGCCAGCTGGAAATGGGGAAAGGCTGTGAACTCTCAAAGCCCCACCCCCAGTAACATGCATCCTCTAGCAAGCTGTTTGGCCAACACAGCAGGCTTCCCCTTTGATCTCTAAAGAGGACAGGGTTTTAACAATCCCGCTCTCCCACTTCCCCCCACCCAACTTAAAAAAAAATACATCTTCCCGCCTTCTGCAGAAAGCAGAAGCCCCCCCCCCCTTAAAAAGGACCCCAGCTCACCACCCAGGGCAGACATTTTCCCTGCCTGGAAGGGGATCTGTCCCATGTGTTCCTTTGATAAACTCTGCTTTCTCCTGATCAACCCTATTCACAATATGGCTACTTTTTATCTATCAGTTATTAAAATATCCATCATGGAAACTACAAAAATACAAAGAAATAAAAACTGACATTATATAAACTATTGAAAAATATGATTAAGAGATTAAAGACTTGGGGGGCTGAAGAGATGGATCAGTGGTTAAGAGCACTGTCTCCTCTTGCAGAGGACCTGATTCAACTCCCAGCACCCACGTGGCAGCTAACTGTTCTTAGCTGCTGTAATGCCCTCTTATGGCCTCCACAGGCATTGCACACCACGGGTGCACTTACACACATACAGATACAACACTCATACACATAAAAATTTTTAAAAAATTAAGTGAAAGAGAACTAACTTCACATAGCGGCCCTCTGACCTCCACACATACAAAAAAAAAGTTTCAAGAGCTGGAGGTGGAGCTGCTGGGTGTTACTACATTTGCCACTTGTGGAGGAGGCCCTGTTTAGAAGTCACTCTTCTAACCAGAATGGCTCATACACACACTTTTCATTAAAATTTCCAAATAGTCTTGACTTTTAACAATCGAGGTAAAGGTATGACGCAACGACCTCAAGAGATGGGCCAGCCTGTGCTAATGTTTTTTATTTAAAAACCTAGGTAAGAGCAACCTACCAATCGAAGCCTCACTACATCGGCTCCACCCTCAAATGACGCCACTCGTGTGGCACGCTCTGTGCTTGGAATCACTGACTTTGCACCTCTGGGGTAGGGGTGTCGGGGCAGGAAGGGGGAGGGGACGACGCTCGAGGAACTAGGAAGCGGAGCTGCAGGGCTGAGCGCGGACTGCCGCAGGGCCTTCCGCCGGCCCAGAGCACCGACGCCGGGATCCCGGAAGTGGCTGGCGGACTCCCGCGCCGAGGCCCAAGGCCACGCCCAGCGCCTTCCGGGCCTCTCCTCGGGACTTACCGTCTTCCCTGCCCCATTGGGTCCAACCAGAATTGTGAGGGGACTGAAGAAGGTGATAATCTGCTTGTCCTTATCCTCTATCCCAAAGCTGCGCACGCCCAAGATGCTCATCTTTTCGATCCGGGACATGTTTGCAACTCGTCTCAGAGCTCAGGACCCGGGGACGAGGAAGCAGAGCGAACGCCGGGAAGCGGACCGCAACAGGCTCGGAACGCACGCTAGCCGCGAGCGCAGCCGGAAGCCCCCAGAGGCGCACTTCCGGCCTCCTGGCGTCCGTCCCCGCCCGGGTTGCGAGCCAGTCCTGCGGAGCCCGGAACTGCCAACTGAGGCCGAGCAACACGGCGCTCGCGGGTTCCCGCCTCACTGAACCCCGCGTCACGTGAAGCCCTTGCTCGCCGCACGCACGCACGCACGCACGCGCGGGGCACGCTGGGAAGCGGAGGGCTTGCGGTGCAAGAGCAGCGTGGATCAGGGTGCAGGTGCTGTGCCCAGAATACCTGCTTCCGGCTGGTGTAGACCACACCGAGAGGCTTAACTGTTTTATTTTGGGTGTCTGACCTTGAACTCGAGACCCCCACCTCGCCCCGCCTCCTCTTCCTGAGAATGGGTTACAGGGGCGCTCGTCCAGCCCCTGCTTGAGACGGTACCTTACGGAGGAAGACTCTCAGCTTCAAACACACTGCCTGCTCCTGCAGAGGACCGGGTTCGGTTCCCAGCACCGACACTGTGCCTCACAGCCATCTATGTATCTCCACTTCTGTGGCAATCAGAAGCCCTCTTCTGGCCTTTACAGGCATTACATGCATGCAGTGTACATACATACATGTAGATAAAACATACCTACATGCAGGTAAGACTCACACGTGGTGCACATACAGACATGCAAATAAATCTTTAAGAAATGGTTGCACATACATACATGCAGGCAAGACACGCATACACGTGAAGTAAAAATATATTTTTAGAAGTCAGTCTTTAGTTGAGAATACTGAGGTTTGACTCCTGGATCTTTGGACCCCAAGATTGGGGCTCAAAAAGACCAAAAAATAATAATAATAATTAATTTTAAAATACTTAAGAACCAGGCATGGTGGCACACACCTTTAGTCCCAGCACTTGGGAAGCAGAGGCAGGCAGATCTCTGTGAGTTCCAGGTCAGCTGGGGCTATAGGGAGACACTGTCTCAAAAAGATAAAATTTGGGAAGCAGAGGCAGGCAGATCTCTGTGACTTCAAGGCCAGCCTGGTTTACATAGTGAGTTCAGGTCAGCTGGGACTACAGGGAGACCCTGTCTCAAAAAGACAAAATAAATAATAAATAAACAAATAAAACCAGAAAAAAATAGTTCCTTGAAGGAAAATGGCTCTGACAAGGTACCTAGCTAGATCCCACTACAGAAAAGTTTCAGCTCTTTAACATTGAGGAATTACACATGTAAGAACATTGCTGTAGGGTTAGAACAGTGAAGGTTTTTCAGTTAAATTGACCAAATGGGCTAAAGAGCCAAATCAGTAAAGTGCTTCTAGAAAATGTTTGGTTTTGCTTGTACCAAAAGTAATGTAATGCAAGATAACACTGCCCTGAAATACTATCTTACACTCACAAGTGAACCTATTCATCCTTATGCTTTCTGAAAGTCTTTATTGGTAATGGTCCATGAGCTTCTTTGACTAGTATTTGTCCAGTTTCTGTGTATTTTGCATTGTGTATCCCTTGAAAATAGCTGGTAAATTATTTTAATACATTTTATACTGTTTACCTTTTAATAAGTTTAACTCATTTGATATAACTGACTTCTGATCAGTTTGGACTTACTGAATTCTATCTTATTTTGTGCTGTGTGTTTCTTTTTCTCTTTACTTGATATCTAGACTGGTTGAAGATTTTTTTAATTCTTTTGTCTTCTGACTTAGAAAATACATGTTTTGGGCTGGAGAAATGGCTCAGCAGTTAAGAACACTTGTGACTCTTCCAGAAGACCTGAATTCCGTTCCCAGTTTATAACTGCCTGTAACTCCAGCACCAGGGGATCCAAAGCCTTCTTCTGGCCCCTGAGGACACCTGAATGCACATGACATACAGATACGTATACACACACACGTACAAATAAAATTAACCCTTTTAAAAAGGAAAATGTATCTTTTCTGTTTTTTATTGTACTTAAAATTTTCATGACTACTTTGAAGTCCAAAGTTAACCTTTCTAAGACCTTGTGCACATGACAAAAGCTTGTGCTGATTCGGACCCCTCCATCCCCTCTATCTTGCTCCTAGTTGTCTTGAAATGAAGGGCACAGTAAGCTATTACCCACATTGCTTACTTAGGCTTACCAGTACAGCCATCAAACTCTGATTATCACAGCTGCTTGAATCACTCTTTCCTTCAGAGACCTTTATTCATTACATTAGCAAAACTAAGGACTCATATATATGAAAATGCTGCCAGCTGTCCTGGCTGACACCCGTAATCCTAGCACTTGAGAGACAGAGGCAGGAGGATCACTGAGTTCAAGGCCAGTCAGGCCAATGAAGGCTATCTAGTAAGATGTTGTCTAAGACACACACACACAAAATGCCAAAATGACACCCATTACTTTGAATGCTGACTTAAAAAATGGACTTAAGAAACATTGCTGACTCAAAAAAAAAAATTGAGGGTACAAGAGATTTCTTCTTTGTACATTGGATATTTTCAGAGGATGATCTGGTAAAGCACCAACAGCAACTATGATAATGACCTTATTAGCATGAGGAAGTATATTTCTTATTAATTTTTAAAAAAATATTTATGTGTATGAGTGTATTGCCTACATGAAGGTAAGTATACTGTGTTGTGCAATGCCTACAGAGGACAAAGGAGGCCATTGGATCCCCTGGAACTGGAGTAACGCACAGTTGTTAGCTGCCATGTGGGTGCTGGGATTCAAACCTGGGTCTTCTGCAAGAACAACCAGTGTTCTTAACTGCTGAGCCATCTTTCCAGCCCCTTATTAATTAATGGCTTTAAAAAATTTATGTGTATTAGTATTTTGCCTGCATGCATGTAAATGCACCTGTGTTGTGCAAAGTCTGCAGAGGCCAAAGGGCATTGGATCCCTTGAAACTGGAGTTTTGAACGGTTGTTAGCTGTTGTGTGGGCACTGGGAATTAAACCCAGGACCTCTGGAAGAGCAGCCAGTGCTCTTAACTGCTGAGCCATCTCTCCTGCCCCTTAAAAATAAATCTTTTAAAAAAATTAAAACAGAATAATCCTAGAGGCAAGCCTAATGTTCACAATTTGGGCTATAGCGAAGTAAACATTTATCAGTTTTGTCTAGTAACAGGTAAACATTATTAAGTAGAAAACGATACCGAAATATGAACAAGACAATGAGCAGAAAAGAGGAAAGTAAACTTCACATATCATTGGGGCTGGAGAGATGGCTCAACGGTTAAGAACACTTGTTGTTCTTGCAGAAGACCTGGGTTCGAATCCCAACACCCACATGGCAACTAACAACTGTCCATAACTCCAGTCCTAGGGAATCTGACAGCCTCTCCTGACCTCCAAGGGTATTGCACAACACGGGTGCACTTACCTACATCCAGGCAATACACACATACACATAAAAAAATAATTTTTTTGCCTGGTGTGGTGGCACACGCCTTTAATCCCAGCACTTGGGAGGCAGAGACAGGAGGATCTTTGTGAGTTCAAGGCCAGCCTGGTCTACATAGTGAGTTCCAGGACAGCTGGGGCTACAGGGAGACCCTGTCTCAAAAAGACAAAAAAAAAAAAGTAAAAAGAAAAAAATTTTACATATTATTGATTACAATTGTAAACTGTCTATAAGTTAGTGGAGAGCAGGAGAAATCACAAAAATATTATTGTTGCTATGCTAAAGGGAAGTTCAGTGCTGATTTTTCTGTGATGTTCAATAAAAGCTCTAGCTGGGGGCTATAGGAGTGACTCAGCACCAAGTGTACTGGCTGGTCTTACAGAGGACCAGGGTTCAGTTCCCAGCACCCATATGGCAACTAGCAACCGTCTGTAACTCCAGTTCCAGGGGAGGCAAGCCTAATGTCAACAAGTTGGGTAATAGTGAAGTAAGCTTGTATGTTTGATGCCCTCTTCAGGCCTCTATAGGCACTGGACACACATGGTGCATTTACATACATCCAAGCAAAACATTCATATATATAAAATATAAATAAATTTTTTAAAAATCTCTGGACTGGAGAGATGGCTTAGCGGTTAAAGCATGTACTGCTTTCAGAGGATCCCAGTTTGCTTCCCAGCACCCACATGGTAACTAACAACTGTCTGTAACTCTAGTTCCAGGGGATCTGATGCCTTCTTCTGGCTTCTGTCAGCTTTGCATGAAATGGGTACACATATATCATGCAGACAAAACATACACATAAAATGAAAGTAAGTAAATACAATTTTTTAAAAAAGAAAAGAAACGTGGACAAGGAGTCGGCGAGTGACAAACAGACAGACAAAAAAAAAAACATCTTAAAGATAGATTTGGGGGCTGGAAGGGTGGAGGTTAAATTACAGTCAAAAGGAAATGCAATCAATTTGCATTTAGTCACCCCAAAACCTTAGGAGGTCATGCCAAGTTGATTGATTAGAATCAGTTCATGGAAAAGTCATTTGAGTATAAATGATTTCATAGTGAAAACCACAGTTATTTAAGAAAAAAACCCATGATGCCAATTTGTAACAAACTCAGGGAGATAAAGGTTTTCTGGCAAAAAGGATGAATGTTACCTATAATATGCCTTTTCAAACATTATTATTTTAGTATATGCTATTACACATATATATTTAGATAGAATTATTTTGTTCTATATTACTTCAATGTGTAACATTATTATGAAAGTCCTTTTGCCAAGTTATATAATCCCTAATCATTCTTAAAAATTCAGATTCCTGATTGATAATTTATTTCTGCTCACCTAAATGAGTTTATAATGTAGATAATAAACTTGTTATGACAGCACATACCTTTAATCCTAGCACTTGGGATACAGAAGCAGGCAAGTATCTGTGAGTTTGAGGCTAGCCTAGTCAACATAGTGAGTTCCAAGGCAGCAAGGTCTACATTAGTGAGACTTTGTCTCAAAAATAAAATAAAAGTAAAATGACAATATAGTTTTTTTTATTTAGACAGAGCCTCA